TTAGGGGACCTATAACTCCACTTATAACTACCCATGAACCTCCAAGCAAGGCATGTTAGAGACTCGTGTTCCAGAAAACTCAAGAACTAAGCCCTAAACACCTAAACCCCTAGGCCCTAAACCCTAAACCCCAACCGACGGGGCGCCTTCTTCGGAAAACATCGCAGTCCTGTATGACATGCCCAGAACCGCGACGGTGCTGCCAGGGCTTGTGAGGGGGCTGGGCCTTCCACATCTTGCAAGCACAGTTGCAATATAATACTGTCATAGTACTATTGTTGTACTTTTACAGTACTGTTATAGCACTGTAATGGCAGAATATTATAATACTATAATATATTGAAGGTGAGAATGCAGACAGCCGATATCGCACTCGCCCTTAGCAGAGCTGACATCCTCCAGCAGCTGAGTGCAGAGGCCCGTAGAGGCAACTCTAATATAACAATGCTAGACACATGCTATTGCTTGATGCTGTACCGCAATATCGATGGATACTTGTTAGGCCGGGAGATCTCCATATCTGAGTTTCGCTGCCATGACAACACAGCGACCGCATTTGCGACGCTCGGAATCTCTGGAAGAAATTCAACGTGCAGGGCTCTTCCGTTGCACGCAGCCTTCAAAAGTGCTTGCAGGCTTCGGGATCATTTTCGAAACAAGGTTGCTTGGGCTGTTGGAAGCGAGCAGGTGCCATGCGCGATATCCGACCATTGAGCAGGTGCAAGGGGCAGGGGCCCACTTGTACAACAACTCGAAGGAAACCAATCACGTAGATGTCTTCATCTCGCACTCGTGGAGTGCTGGGCGCTGGGCAAAATATTTGGCACTTTGCCTGTTTTTCAATTTTTCATTGGCCATCAAGAGCCCTAAACCGGAACCAAGTGTCTCTCCCGCAGCCGGGCTCAATTCTATTGTAGGAGCCTTAATAATTACCTATACTATTTTTGGGGGTTCCTTGTCATAACCATAGTAGAATGGGGCCCGAAGCCCTATTCTAGTTATTAAGGCCCCTATGTTCAATCCCACGTGGACGAACCACTAAACCTAAGCCCTAAACCCTAAACCCTGAGCCCTAAACCCTAAACCCTAGGCCCTAAACCCTAAGCCTAAGCCC